CTTTCATGAAATGGACACAAATTTTTCACCATGTATTGGTGCAGATGAAAAAGAAGAATATATAGACATGGAAGTGAGCTTTTCATCAACAAACTCCCTCTACTCCCCAAATTCTTACCCAAAAAGCAAAGATATTGAGTTCCAACTCTCCTCCATTTCCAATAAGACATTGTGTAATGTAAATATTATTAAAAAAAAAAAAAAAAAGCAATACAATTTATAAAAGTCCAGTTTATACAAAAAAATTTCACTAAGGATACCCCCTAACCTTCATATAGAGCTCACCTCCCCATAAGCATATTCAGTCACACAGAAACTGCTTTCATGAAATGGACACAAATTTTTCACCATGTATTGGTGCAGATGAAAAAGAAGAATATATAGACATGGATTTGAGCTTTTCATCCACAAACTCCCTCTACTCCCCAAATTCTTCCCCACAAAGCAAAGATTTTGAGTTCCAACTGTCCTCCATTTCCAATGACAAAGGAACCACTACTTCTTCAGCAGATGAACTCTTCTACAAAGGCCAGCTCCTCCCTCTCCACCGCTCCCCGCGGCTGAAAATGGTACAAAAACTCCTCGAAGCCTCCTCCAACACCACCATCACGACTTTCTTGGAGAACACCAAACCGGGCTTTAAAGAAGAGAATCATCATGAAACACCATTCATGACTTGCTCCACCAACACTAGCTCCTCCTCAGTGAAGTCCTGTAGAGCGAGTTGTGAACTGAACCCTAACAAGAATTTCTTCGAACGGCCTGCTGAGTTAAGCAGTTTCGTCAATAAACAGCATCCAAAGAATTCTTGGTCCAAAAAGATGAAACTCATGATGCATTCCGTACATTTTCAGAAGCTTAAGGCTTTAAGGGCTTATCTGAAATCTCTATTCAGCAAGTCTGCAAGCAATTTAGAAGCAGAAAACTTGTCAAAAGTTGAGGAACCTTCAAATGATAAGTACATTAAGATTACCAGGAAAAAACCATTCGGAAGTACGGGAAAATCTACATGCCCAACAATGTCAAAAGCTACTTTAATAAAGAGCATTGAAAAAGAGGGGATTGGGAATGATAATGTCCACAGGAGGTCATTCTCCGGGGCAATCAAACGACACTCTGCAACTAAGCGTTCGTCTTTTTCTTCATCTTCATCCTCATCTATTTCTTCGTCTGCTGCTTCCTCCTCGTCTTCTTCTTCCAGGTTCAATTCTTGTGGTTTTCAAGAATTACATTTTCTCAAGAGGAGCAGCAGTGCCACTAAGATTGAACGTTCAGTAGAGGCAGCCATTGCTCACTGCAAGAAATCTCAACAGCTTTCTGAGTCAAGAAACAATACATGTTGTTCGATGTAATCAAGAAATAACAGGTGGTTTCTTTGTACCAATATTTACATTTTCTAAATAAAATATGAAAAATAAAAAAGGGGAATTGTGCAAAAAATGAAAATCAGGAATTCCATCCCCTGATTGAATCTTCAGAAAAACAAGAGTTGCTGCAGTTTCTTATTCATCAATTAATTACTTCTACAAACTAAATTCAGACCTGTCTCGTGTTATTTTCATTCTCACAATTTTATTTTATTTTTGTTCTCAAAGGAAGCCTAGGTAAGCAATTCGAGGACAATCTCACGTAATATTTATGGATTATGATATTTGTACATAGAAATGGTACATAAGGAATTACATAAAATGATATGGAAGAAAAATATTGGATGAAAATGTTAACGACGTTTTAAACTGGTAAATGATAGAGTGATATGTGTCATTATGTAAAACTTGATGTACATTTTGAAAGATCCAATATTTATTTATATAAATTTAATCTTTAACGCACTTCTTCACTTCATTATATTTATGTTTTAATCAATGTCCTGATTCTAATCTAGAAAAATTCCGAATGGACTAACAAAAATAATAAAAAGGGAAGGAAAATAAAAATTGACACTTTCGAGGATCAGAAGATATTCTTGAAAAAAAGATTAGTCCCTGTTTGACCCACATTAAATTTTTCATTCTCATTCTTCTACTCATTTTCAACCACACATTCTTCAATAAAATAATATTTTCAATCACATTAATAACTTTTCCTTCATTTTCAACCACATATTCCCCATCACATCACTTCAAAAAAATGCATTATCTCATTTTAATGTGCACCAAACATGCTGTAAATTATTAATTAAATATGTTTGATTGATTTAGTTTTCAACTTATAAAATATTATACTTATTGTCCATTTTTTATTAGTAGATAGATGAGAGAGATAGTGAATTACTTGAAAAATAAAAATCATATCTCCCTAAAGAAAATATTTTCTTTGTTTTCAAGGAAAACATAGTCACATGACCAAAAGTAAGAAAATATTTTCCGTGAAAAAATTGTCAATCAAACAATAAAAAAAGTAGGAAATTAGGTTGAAAAAAACACATTTTTCTTGGAAAATATTGACAATCAAACACACACTTACAATTGTTAACAAAGGAAAAAACGGAGAGGCATAGAAGTATTTACAAACTCATTTCTATCGCATTATAATTTTAGTAACTCATAATTTTCTACAAATATTTCCACACACTCGTGCTCATGTCGAACTTTTTATAAGAGAAAAAAATGTCGGACATATTTCATTTCTCTTTCTACAATTTTCAGCACGATTTTAAGTAATATACTCAACAGCTTATTGGAGCTTTTCATCTTGTATAAAATGAATGGCCGGCTAAACCATTTACTAAAAAAAGAGAAAAAAAAAAATAATGGCCAAAATAAAGAGAGAAGAAACTTGAATGAAGAAGTTTGATATACAAACAAACAAATGAGCTTATGGTTTCGTGACTCCTAAACGATGATGACATTGACTAAACATAGGTTGGAGTGACCTTGTCATCCCGATTTTAGGCATATTCAACACTATCAAATGTCACCCAACTTTACAACTAACCCAATAAATAAATTAAAAAAAAAAAAAAATCTTCACAAACATGGAATATAATTGTGAGCTATTTAAATTTTTTGGGATGTTGTAAATGTCTAAAATTTGTGGGTCGACAATATGAATTACCACGAGTTGGAACGAGCATGACACTTATTTTGTGGTATTGAATGGGTCCGTTTCACAAAGGCTAGTAGAAGAGCTTCCTGGCTTCCTAAGAAAGTTATTTTACATCAACTTCTTTAAAAGCTCTTCTAATCCAACAAAACACTTTTAAAAAATTAGTCAAACATGTTCAAAAGCAGTTTCTTAGTTCTGGAAACAATTTTTGATTTTTCATAAGACTTGCAAAATCGAGATCAACTTGTGATTATGTATGCATCAAGCTAGTATTGTACTCTAGCAATTATACATGTACTAAAATAAGTAGACAATTTGCTTTGAAATTAAGTTTGTATTCTCAATTTGCATGGGAAAGCATTAGAATAAATTAAAAATTTGAGCGATCAAATCTGTAACAAATTGTAATTTTATCAAACAAAAAGTTATTGAGGTTTGAAACCAAGTTCTGTTTTTATTTATTTTAAATTGACAAAAAGAGCTACCGGTGTCGTCTCATCACAAACCACATAAACTTTCGTAGAAAATTTTCGTACTTATAATTTTTTTTCGTTTTTGTGCTCATAGAATTGGCCTAAATTCCATTTCTTACTTCAAAAAAAAAAAAACTTACCCCGCCTCACAAATCTAACCCAATCCAAAAATATTGATCTAGTTTGGTGTATGTATCAATCAATGAAATTATAAGGTTTGTTGACCGAATATATCTATCATGCATGCACGAAGTCTTGTTTCTTTCAAAGGGACTTTTACTAACGGAACAAGATAAGTATCTCTATAATATTTCCAGATTCATGGAATGTCAAAAATAAAATTCCCATTGGTCACATCAATTTATCGGCTACTCTTGCTTGTTTCCATTCAACATTCTTAAGTCTCTTTCTCTGGTGAATGTCATTAGACCCTTAAGCTGGACACATCCCAATTCAGAGTTCAAAGGAGCTTTAGAAGATTATAGTGCATGCACTTGTAAGTACAAGGGGACGCAAAGACAACTGCTCAGTACAAAAACCAGACTATTATTATATCATGTGAATCGAGATGTTTATATCCAATATGTTTTATACACGTATGTATGTGCTTTTAAGTGTTTATAAGCTGTGCGTTCTAAAAATTTGTGGATAATAAGATAACAGTGAGTTGCGAGTCCTACAAAATCTGTAGATAAAAAGTACACTTGACTAGCTTAAATCAAAATTTATGCTTTGACAAACATGTTGTATGTCTAAGGCATTGTCCATGGAGTCTGTAGTTTTCCCAAAGGCAATTTAAAGACGAGGTGAAATTTTTCCGTGTTTAGTAGCAGTAAAAATTGGATTGAGTAGGACAGTTGTAGAGAGGCGATGTACCTGTCTTGGCCTCTAGGCATATGTCCCCAGGTGGGTTTGGCCGAGGTGGACGAGGATGGACTTGAGGCTAAATTTATTATGCGGTCTTTAGATAAATACTCTTAAAATCGAGAATCTTTTGAAAAATAAGATGAAAAGTATTTAGAAAGTAAAAAATATGGTGTAAAAATTGTGGGATGAAAAGTATTTTGAAAGTAAAATAAGGGGTGAGCTGACTTGTCGAGCACAACCTAACTAGCTTGCTGAGCCAAGTCGAGACTGGAGGTGGGCTAGCCAAGCCATCTCGGCTTGGCCCATTAACATCCCTAGAGTCAGATTCTCTTTTTCCTCGTTAGTTTGCTCTTTTGTGCGACGGGAAGGCAATAGTGTTGCCCACACTCATCCTACAAGCTTTTGCTTCTCCTTTTGATTTTGCGTGGACTGTGGAGACCTCGAGCTTCATTGCTGATCTTGTATCAGTTAGAACAGGGACATGTAACACAACATAAAAGGGAACGAACTGCAGCATATGGAACCTCATAGTGTATGTACACGAACAAAAATACATCATGTTCTATATATTTTTGGGAAATATATTTAGTGGTTGTACATACAGCACTTTCATCAAAGTGCGTAAATCGGGTTTACTTCTGAATCAGTGTCGTGATGATGCATTGAATAAGTTCCACTCCTCGAATACTTCTCTTTTTTTCTTACTCTTCGATTCCTTCTGGATTTCACCACGTAATATGTCATGGCACTTAGAACACCAGCCATTGTAACTCCCCCTATAACTGTGACAAGAGTTGCAGCCCATTTATTGCGGCGCCCTACGACAATATAAGATGAAGCAATAAAAGCCACCGTGGTGCAAACGGAGGCCAACCACATCAACTTGTTGATCACCTCTACAACTCGTCTCTCGGATGTTATCTCACCTCGGACCACCGTAATTTGTACTACCACAACAGCCAAGGAAGTGAAGAGTGCAACAGCATTTGAAATGAAGAATAACTTGAAAGATGGACTGTGTACCATCACGGCCATTCCGTTGTCATCGTCACCTCCCGGAACTGTGAAAATAGCTGCAAAAGCAACTGTTGCAAAGAGGACAGCCACCACGGTCACTGAATTGGTAGCATTATTGATTCCTTCTCGGTGGAGCTTCTGGAGCTCTTTTGCTATGCCGTTCACATTTTTGTTGGTTTTACGCACTTGTTCGAGCTGTGAGTGGACATCTTTCTTGATTTCTGAAACAGTTTTCCGAAGCTCGTCCCGAGGCTGATTCAGTTCATTGGCAGTGACAGCACCATAACGAGTCAAGCACTCTTTCATTTCTACAGTTTCTTCTGATAGAGGGAGTCCTTCAGCTATATCGAGGGCTGTTTTGCGGTCTCTTGTCAATGCATTGACATTTGTGTCACGGAGAAGTAAGAGCTCATTCACGATCTGCAATAGTTTTGGGAGATCAAAACATAATCACATCACAAACACAAAAAAAAGTTATTGGTTGGATGAACTAAGAACAATGTGATTCGATATGGGCTTTACGTAAAAACTAAATCATAGAAATGGGAGGTGCAACATTGGCAATAAGTACCTCCACGCGTTTTTTCCTGGTGGCTATGTGTAAAGCTGTATTGCCGAATTTGTCTGGAAGCATTACAATGGCTGAGTCTGCCTGCAGCAGCAACCTCACCGTTGCACAGCTAATGCCTTTAACAGCCATGTGCAGTGCGGTTTGTCCTTTCTTGTCTGTTCTTCTCGCCAATTGGGGATCCTTCTCAAGCAACACTTTTACGATGTCTACATGCCCTTGGCGAGCAGCTAAATGTAATGCATTTTTTCCATTCGATTTTGATATTTCGAGCAAGCTAGAATTCGTTGAAAGTAATTCATTAACAACTGCTACATGCCCTTTAGCAGCTGCAGATATAAGAGGAGTTGCATTTGATTGACCGACTGTCAAGCTTAATTCAGGGTCGTGCTGTAGCAGTATCTGGACAATATCTGGGGAAAAAAATACTGATTAAATCACAAGAGTGTCGATAAACAAACATGGGAAAGAGAAAATGAAATTTGTAAAAAATGTCAAAATTCTCCGGTTAATGTTCAAAAGCAGAATTGATCGTCGGAAAGCAAGAGTGCTAAACAAAATCATCAACGTTGTCTAATTCCTTCATGCTATTTCAATTGAATTTTGGATCGTCTTCATGTAGGGGTCCATATCAGATATACGATTCATCCAACGACTTCTTGTTGGGATTGATATCAGCAATACGAGTTCATCCAACGATAAACTTAAACCGAATTATGTGTCTATTGACACAATGAAAGGTCCAAAAATGATTTTGTGATTGCTCAACATAGTAAACTGATGTAGTAAAAATTATTCCACACTTGAAGCATAAAAATCTTATTGAAATTGTCAAATTAAATAAGGCAGAGGGAATTAATTATTTAAGTTATTTTCAGAAAAATCAAATTACCATGATGGCCTTGACTTGCAGCAATGTGCAAGGGATCAAACCCTGATCTATTTTTGGTTGTGATCCCTTCCTTGGTGGTGTAAGGCAACAACTCCTTCACCACAGCAATTTGACCCCTCTCCGCGGCGGTGAAAAGTGGCGTCTCCCCCAGCTCATTAACCTCATTCACAACTGCAGCTCTAATCTCCGCCACCTGCGCATCAAACTCGGCCCCGCTCAAAGTTCGAAGCATTTGCTCGTCGATTTCCCCTAATATCTGCTTAATCGCCGCCACGTCGCCCCTTTGCGCCGCCAGGTGCATCTCCGTGTCATTGTGCCGCCCTGTAACCTGCTTCACGTACTTTTTCTTGCCCGCCTGGTCCATTCTCTTCCCGGAATGTGACACGACCAAGGCCCTGCCAGAGTTGGACACCACCAATGCCTTGCCAGAATTCGATGCCATCAACATCTTTGCAGAGTTGGACGCCATCAATGACTTTCCGGAATTCGACACCACCAAGACCGGCGCTCGAGGCGACGGCGATGGCGATGGGGGCTCCAGTTTTAGGCCCATTTCAAGATCCCTCTCACCTATTTTACGAGGGAAAAAAAAAACAACAACATATACATAATTGTATCAAATCAAACGAAAATTCTACCTCCAACTAAACGGGGCTGATTCTTAATACAATTTTACATAAAAACATTATGAATAAATTTACCTTGGTCAATGATGGAAGCCATGGCAAGAAAAAAATCTTCCTTGCGTTCTTGTTTCTTTGTTTCTAAATATCATTCCTTGGTGCGATTAATTGTAATGTACATAAAAAATACTATCTATAAACAATAAAGACTTCATCGGAGATAAGGCGGAGCTCGTGGCACACGGTGGAGGAACAGCGGTGGTGGAGGAGGAGATGAAAGGGGCAGCGGAATATAATTTACATCATTAATTTGTATACACAGATTACTCGTGCATTCCATAGCCGTTAG